GCAACAAATTGCAAATAGTTGCTTCCACACACATCTAAATAGAGTAAGGCTATCATGCCCCTACACCTTCATGTTCATAAATTTACAATATTCTTCAATAGAATAAACTGTAAAAACAACATTAAGAAAAAAAAAAATGATTCAAATCATGTAACATTTCCAAAGGGCTAGTGAGTAGTGGTTACCAAGCCACTCTAGCACAATCATACTAAGTTTAAATCCAATTTTCTTTTTACAGTAGCGGCCGATCGCTCTGCTACAAGTAGACCTGTATGTTCAGGCAGAAAGCAGATCTTATTTTTTCTTAATTTTCAAGATGACTATTACTCTAAATGGGTAATACTTCTAAAATACTAGATTTCTTTTCACCGTGTAACGTTCAATCTGTGTCAGATTGTTCTAATAAGTACATGCTAATTAGTAAAAGCAGAAGATTACACTTCATATCAAAACTGCTTGAACAAACTGGATGAAAATTTGTGCTATCTGACTTTCGCTTTGTGGGATCAGTTACCCAACTAAACTATTACTGCAAGGGCTTAAAATTTCCTGAAAGTGACCTTGGTTATTTCATACACATAAAACTAAGTGAAATTCAGTATACTATTTTCCTCATGAATCTGGAACATAAAGGAAGACCTTCCCCTTGGCTGCTCAAAAATTTCTTGTCTACCAGCGACTTCAGAGAACATTTACGAATACAATCAAAAGAATTTTACCGGCAGTCAAACTAACTATATTATGGAAGTCATCCATATGCACTCTCTTCAACATTTATATATATGTATATATATGTATATATATGTATATTGTGTACATATATATATATATATATATATATATATATATATATATATAATATATATATATATATATATATATATATATATATATATTAGTTTTGTGCATAACATCTGAAAACACTAACTTGTATCATAACTTCTATGTTGTCTTTTAAGATATTGGGCATTTAATTTTCAAAGTTAAATTATTTGTCATCATATTTCTAACATGATAAATATCTAAGTTGTCTAAAAAAAATGTTTATGAAAAGACAAGGAGAATGCACACCCCATACTGTAACAATTACCTCACCTCGGACAATACTATCTAGAAACACCTTCGTGTAACAAGAAAAAAATTATGCATTTTGGAGTCCCCTAATCTCTGATGCTTTCATTGTTCTCACCACTTACCAAACTCGACTCTACAACCCTAGACCCAACCATTCAATTGCCAGGATCCGCCATACAACACACTTCGGACTTGCCTGCCTTCCCCTACTAATCTGAAGGCTTACTTAAACAGGGACAAGCACTTTTGGATAACCATAGAAATGATATTCTGCACGATTACATGATATCATCCTTTATTTGGCATAAATTCAAGAAACGTTTAGCTACACAGTGTTCAAAGAAAATTCCCATTGCAACCGACTAGGATATTTGCAACACTAAACTACACTGTTCACCATCTAACTTAATGACATTTTAAAAATCAGTTACAGGGGGGAAACTACCATCAAATTTGCTATGGTCTTAGAGTGAACAAACAACACAATAGAATAAAAAATTCTAGGCATAATAACATGCCTTACCCAGGAGCACTAAGGGCATTATTAATATCTATACTCATGAAGTTATAAGGATGTGCTTCACATCATTAAACATTAAGATAGTGGATGATACAGTGCCATGGCTGAGACGCTACTCTGCAGAGAAGGAATGGCCCTGTTGGCTATATCCTATTTTCCTGCAGCTACTTAACACGAACACAATCTATATACTGTATATCCTATTTTACCTCTAAATTTATATGAATCAAAATCTCCAAAGTTGCAAAGGTGCATTGTCATCTTCTTTCAACAATTTATATAATTCTAACATCAAATAGGCAACAGTAATTGCCATAGATGGAATGAAAAGTCGCTTTCTTTAACAACTAAACACTGGGAGGACCACCTGGGCCGTGTCCAGCTGGGGCTACGAGCTGATGCCTTCACCAGGTGGTTGGGACAAATACAAGGTTCATAATATCTACACATCCTGTAAGATTCACGCAAGTCCAAGCAATGTTTGTAGGCATCTTTACCACAATGACGTCCCATCAACAAGGGGTTTACCAGTCTGCTGAAATTTCTCAACGTTTACAAGTTCTGAGGATTCTTGAGAACTCTTTCTTTCTGCATCTATCTAGAAAATATAGTTTTTAATTGGGGGGGAAGTCTCTCTATGCTGCAGACTAAACAGTGAAATTATTGAACATCAAAAAATTTTCCTTTTCCAACATATTAGACACTCTGTAAGCGAGCATTAAACTTACACTGAATTGCACACCTTACACAAATGGAGTAAAATGTGACTTAGAACAACTAAGAGCAGTATATACACTTGCGCATCACAACACTGTGCTGTGCCCCATGCAAGGGGGCTTTTGCTATTACTCTAAACTAATAAAAGATTATCATGACAGCTAATATCTTGTGTTTTCATTAAACTTG